GTGGTGGTGTCTTGTGAACTTGTGAAGTTGTGAAGTTGTGAAGACACCACCACATGGTCACAAGGCACCAGTTCATTGTGACTGGACCACGTGTGGTGCTGTAGCTTAATTGTGAAGTTGTGAGCTCGTGAAGTCTTGCCGACCCACCTTAAAATTGCAAACACACGGATCTCAGAATACAGCTACACCCCACATTGTGAACGTGTGATGCTGTGAACGGCTTCACGTTGTATCAATGTGAACTTGTCCACAAGTGCACAAGGAAAGTGTGTAGTCATCACTTTCCCGATTGTGAAGTAAAAAATTCACTTGCTATCTACAGATAGAATACGATGCATCTAAGACACTAGCATCTAGATCAATTCCTGATGTGACTAACTGGTGGATATTTTTGCAATGGTAAGAAACAATAAAAGAAAACCTATAAGTAATCACGCCATATTCCCAGGTGGATATTTTTGTAATGGTAAGAAACAATAAAAGAAAACCTAAAAGTCATCACGCCATATTCCCAATTTCAGAGCCAAAGCCTTCATCTTTTTATGTGCCTGTTCTTTGTAACCAGTCAAAACAGAGGCCTGATAATTGATCCAGTCTTCTTCACACATCTCCGCACGCAAAGACCTCACTTTATCAATTCGGTCAACCAGCGCTTGAGAAATTTGACAAGAGCAAGCAAATCTTGTTATTTCAGCCTGCTCCGGAGATACTTGTGCACGACTGGCATTATAAGTTCTGGATGGGGTTGTGTGATGGTTAACTTGTGAATTCCACACCATCTCGATGACCCCATCACAGGCATCTAGATTAACGTCGAAGTTGTAGTCGTCCAATACAAAGCGGGATCCAATGGTATCACCTTGTGGTGCTGTCGAGCCTCGTTGGTATAGATCACCGGTAATTCGATCAATTAATCCAAAAAAACCAAATGCATATTTAGATGCATCTCGATCTTTATGCTTCTTATTTGCAAACTCGTCAAAGGTGACAGTGATATTCAATCCAAATACTTTGGCGTTGGGTGAAACATAGAATGATTGGTTACCCCAAGATGGAGCTTGGACTCTTGCAGCAATCGTGGCATTTGATTCAAAGGCAGATAAGGAGAGGCCACTAAATCTTTCGGCGAAAAAGGATTCCATTTGTGGCAGGTTGTCTTGACGCTTCAAGTCGGCTTCCATCTTGTAAAGGTCTGCGGCGGTGGCTGCGTTCCACGTATACTGTCCTGTAAATCCATCATTAGGTCCAGTCAGTCATTATGTGTAACTTTGATCAATCAAGATTAGAAGGGCTTCTCACCTCCTTTTACGTCAGGTTCATATCCCGGACGAAAGCCTGCAGCATGCATCCTGCCAAATTTACGACCTTGTCTCCTTGCTCGGTATGTTGCTGCGTTGATCTTAATTTCACCTCGAGCTTTGGCATGCTGGTAAACGGTACTGATAGAGTGATTGTACTGTTGAAAGAGCTCTTGATTCCTTTCATCCTTCTCCACAAATTGTACCACAAGTAGGAGTTCCGATGTATCCAGATCAAGGCATACCACCGTTCCATAGGATAAGCTGAGGCGTGCTTGGCCAAATCGACGACCCTTCTTGAAGAAAAGGAATTTGGCATCAGGCGGAAGACCATATTTTTGGGTGAGTTCCTCTTTTTTTGCAGCTCGTGCATTCGGCAGTCTTGATTCGCGATCGGTGTGTTTTAGAATCGAACGATTAAGACGTGAATTTTTAGTACTTGGAGACTTGTACTTGGGTTTACCCATCACAACAATCCTTAATCACAGTAAGATAAAAGACGTTCTGTCAAAATCAAGTTGGGTAACCCTTATGAACCTCCCTTCTAGCTTCTGAATTGGCGTCACGATGAACTTGGTCCGAAGCATGCAAGGGAGGTTTTAGGATGTATCAACTTGATTATGCTTAGAGTCGTATTTATATCAATGATGAAGTTTATAAGTTGTGAGGAACCAGTGAGAATGGAATGGAGATTAGGAACGATGTAAGCTTTGTAAGAATCGATATGAGATCAATATGAAGATTTTACGTATATATTGAAATAAGAAGTTAAAAAAAAGGAGCGTATCGAGTGAATAATGAATCAACCAATTCCCTGACAACTAAACCCAAGTGAGTCCCACGCTTGAGTACTCGCAAACGTCTTGACAACTGGCATATCGGGGAATCAAGTTCCCTGGCGGGAGGACCTTGTAGGTTATTTAGTCTTGATTAGGAATGAATGCCACACTAAGTTACTAACCTCATTCCTCAACACTATTTAAACTACTCGCCACGTCGAAGGTGGCCATTTGTACAGGCCATAGATAATCAAATGTTTCATTGTTCCAATCTCATGAGGACAATTGAAAAATTTATGATAACTGATAATGACATTTATGTAAGTATCAGTAATACACATACCGAAACAGCTTCAATGTTCAAATACGTCCAACTTAATTGATCAATCATCATACTGATTCAAAGTAAGTATGATCAATTAAGTTCCTTTTTTTTATTTGAACATGTATAACCTTCAGCACGTCAGCCTTCCATTTAAAGGCTAATGCATTTGCGCCTGTACATACACTGCCTTACGAATTGTAAGCCTATGCTTCCAAATACCATGCCATCACCTTGAAGGAATAATTTTTGGATATTTTTGGGCGCTTTGAAGAAGCCTGTGGAAAAAACACCACAAGGGAGTGGATAGCTATTCTTCATTGAAAAACTCGACAATTGTTTGTACCTTATCATGTTTGAGCGGCATTTGGTGAGCATCAAGAGCACCTAGGCAAAAAATGCAACATTTGCAAGAAGTAAGTAATCTTCCACCACACAAGGGCTGTGGGGATGTTGCAGCTCAGTAATCATTGGTTCCAACCTTAGGGTATAATCATGGAAATTACCCGCTGCAAATATCCCCCATGGTTGGTTTTAGATATTAATTTCAAATGGCAGTCCTTGGACTTCATTATATATATTTGGTAATATATACAAGTATGCCATAAAGCAATGCAGTTGCAAGTCAATAGGACAAGCTCACTGGTCAATGTTGCTATGATGAGAGAGCTGCATATTCAAAATTGATAATGTGCTTAAACAACACATTTGACAAATAATGTAATTGTAGTAGTAGAGATAACTGCGTGAAGGTCAATGCACCTTCAGCCAGTTATCTCTTTGCACAGTTGACTAGGCCACCCAATAATTGTTATGGAGCCATGTTGCTATAATGATGATTCTTGGAATGCAGAAATGGATATCTGATTATAAGATACCTTTTGACCAAGGTGTTCATACTGTTAGAGTTTACTAGGTTACTAGGATGAGGGTAATGTGGCACCTTTGAATTACACCCCAATAAAACCACAAATATATTTGTTATGGAGCCATGTTGCTATAATGAGAGTTGTTTGAATGAAGAAATGGATTTCTGATCATAAGAACCCTTTTGACCAAGGTGTTCATACTGTCAGAGTTTACTATATTACTAGGTTGAGGGTAATGTGGCACCTTTGATTTACACCCCAATCAAACCACAAATACCCTTATAACTCAGTGGAGATTGGATATGGTGGGTTATCTGTAATCTAGGAATGTCTGCCAGGTACCATAGATGAATATTCAAACCATTCATACCTGGTGCAACATGGTGACTTTGGGGATAACTGGCATGATGATAATGCTTCAGCCTGGTGGCTTCTGGTGATCAAAACAACAAATCTTCTCATAAGTTAGTGGTGATGAGGCAATGTGGGATTATTTTCATGTAGGAATATCCCCACAGTGCCATTAATTAATAAAACAAACTCTCAAACTACCATAAATGTTAAAAATTTTGGTTGATGAGTGTTATTCACCTTGATTCAACGTGAAAACAAGAAATATGGGCATTATGGCACCCAGAATTTCGAGATTTTCCAAAGTCAAAATGAGACTAAGGTTCCTTAATAAAGTACCCCTAAAATCACCTCAAGAATTCAATGGAACTGGTCCTGAGGTCCAAATCTCAAAAACCACTGAGTTATGGCCATATGAAAATGTGGCAAAATTTTTTCAGTTGGCCAAATGGGTGAGAAGAAGGTGTTTGTCCAAAGAATTCTCTTATTAAATGGAAAGTGATTTCCTATTCCAAACAACTTTCAATAATGAAGTTTTTAGTTTGGGGGAAAACTGAAAGAGATATGCGACTTTTGTGACATTCGCAGCCTCCCCCAATTATCACAAAACCCACTATTAGCGCATCAAGAAGTTCATATTTTATTCTTTGGTGTTATTGAACTATGGTTCAAATTGAATATGAAAGATCTTTCATTATTGAACATTTCCCTTTGGACAACAATTGAGTGATATATTGCTGGATTGTGCCATGGACAAGGACGCCTAACATCACAAAACCCTGTATGTGACCATCAACCGTTGGAAATTTTTTTGTTTGGTCTTATCAACCTATACTTCAAATTAAATTTCCTATAACTTTCATTATTGAATCTTTCGGTTTGGACGAAAACTGAGTGAGATGTAAGAAAATGGTTACATTTTCAAACGGCTGAATCCGCATTGCTGACTTTATGCTTTCATTGAGCATCATGACAAGGACAGTTACATGTGCTATTATAAAACCAAATCGCAAATGCAAAATCAAATAACCTTCAACATTGGACCTTCATGTTTGAAAAGCGAGTGAGATAGGGGGTATTCGAGTTGTTTACGACCCACAAAAGGCTCTGGGAAAAGTGCCCAACAATGTCACCATGAGGAAAGCTTGTCTACTCAAAGTCAAGTCCAGATGAAATACTTTTTCATTGCAGATTTCATGGTTGATATTTGGTAGACTCTGGCAGGGAATCATCTTCCCAAGATAAACTTAAACGACACATGATGAAAACTTTTCATCTTCTGATCTTGAAGTGAAAAGGCGATAATATCCTTAGTATTAGCAGAAATCTCATTCCAGCACAAACGGGCAAATGAGACATCCGTGTCATTTTTTAGTTCAGTAAAGTCCCAATTGATCTTAGCGTAGACCCCATACATAGTTGTGGGGGATGAGAAAACAATGATGAAATGTTAGTACACCCCTGCCCAAAAGGGACAAATCTTCATGCTATTCATACCCAAAACGTTACACCCATCGCAAAAAAGGTTATCAAATCTTACCAAAAAACCATCAATACATCAATACGTGGCTGAAAACAACGGTGACTCTCAAGCACCCTCTCCACAGCTGACTCCAACCCAACATGGCCAACAAGAAGAAAGACCGGCCTCGCCCCATTGAAAGTCTCAATCGTCGACCTCAAAATCCCCTTGATGCTTGAGTCCTGGCCCTGAAACGTAAAGCTCGAGAGCAGACGCTGCGACGGCATGGGCAGGAAGCTTTGGGGCCGCCTCAAGTGGCCAATAATACCACGCCAATTGTTGATCCCGCACAACTACTAGAAGTTGAAGACAACGAAGAACCGAATGATGACCTGGATTATAATATGAATGCTGCCCCTCTCGACCCCTCAATGGATCCACCAGAAGTAGTACTAGTTGATGATTCTGCCAAAGTTATGAACCGGGGTTTCTACTCTGGTCGTAGGGCACATGAAGAAGTGCAATGGCGAACTCGTCACCCTGCCATGTTCCAAGCCTACCTTCAGATGCAGCAATTGACAACCGATTGGTCAAACCAAATGTTCGATCATGACTTCAAGAAGACATGTCAATGTCAAGGTAACCCGCGGACTTTGGATGTTTTGGATCTTTGTTGTCAGTAAAAATTGTGGTACATGATATATATAAACACTGACCATATCACCCCAGATTGTAAGCAGGTGTCAATCCTGTTTTGCAAATGTTACGCAAACGATCAAGCAAGACTCATCTACGCAGGGTATATAGGGGGTTCTCCAGATATCCCAGTATCAGCAATCAGTATCCGACTCCTTTGTTTCTTTCACATCCTTTGGAAGTTCTGCAGTATTGCATTCCAGCCCTTTGCACTGGCTCTTGCGGAGTTTCTCGATCCAGGTAACCCCATTTTCCTTGCTAAAGGTGGAGAAACGGTAAATGACAAGTTCTTCATCTAGAGACATATGTGGTAATCTAATGATGATTCCTTTGCCAGGCACGAGAATGGCATCGTACATTATCATCTGCCATGGATGGGTATCGGCAAATGCTCATCATGTCTGATGAAGCTGCAGCCAAGGCTCTGCACCTTACAGAATACGACGAGTTGGCTTACAAATGTCCCCAATGCTTTGGCCCTGATGTAGACCCTTTGCCTAACTGTGAACCGGATCACTGTGTATGTATTGATGGTAAATTTCAACACCGTCGCCACTTGGCTGCGAGTATTGAGTTAGGAGGAATCATAACTCCTTTCATGTTCTTACCACCTGAGGAATTAGAGGCCATGCGTGCTAGTGTACCCGCACCTCGGCAGAAAAAAGGCAAGAAGATACACTGGGCCGAAGAGGAAGTGGTAAGTTCTTGATGATGATATATGAAGACACATAGGGTGATACTCATTATTGGAACATTATTATTTTGGAAGGACCCATGCTCAGCCAGGCATACCGCTGCTGATGATGTACGTGGCAAAAACCACTGGAAAGGCAATGATGAAACCGGCCTCGAGGTGTTGGCATGTAGGCATGATCAATGTCTGAAGTTCATCAGTATCATCCAGAGTGGGGAAAAGTCAGTGCTTGTCTCAACACATTGCTTCATGAATAGAAACGGTTGAACAATTATATTTCAATCCATTCGTAGAAACATATACCCACTTCCACTAATAAACTGGCTACTCAGAGCAACAGAGGCGTGACCAGGCAAGCGAGATGGTAGGATTGGGGTCCTTTATGACATAGGTTTCAATATCAAAAAGGGAATTGAAAAGGTTCTTATGGTCATGCTATATAAATGAGGAAAGACCTTGCTAATACATCTTATCAGAGAAATCAATTTCCAATAGAACGGCAGTTCAACAGGCTTAAGTTCGCAACCAGCCTGTTCCATTCATTTGTGCATGAATGGACATGTCAGCTAGATTACAACCAGCGTCTGAATGATGGATGGGGACTTACAGATGGCGAAGGTAGTGAGCGTATATGGGCTAAGTTTGATCCCTTGGTCCGTCGACTGCGATATTCAACAAAGCAACATCGCCTCAATGCCATCAATTTCGCAGCGCTTCACAAGAATGAACTGGGAAGGATGAACGCTGGTGTGTATTATTGTAATGTCGCATAATTTGGTAAAGTATGTCAGTGATTGACTTTTTGTCTCACAAATTTTCATCAGTCCATGGGTCCATACGGCACCTTGGAAAAACCAACGCTAAGTTGAAGTTGGCCAAAGACAGATTGGCCCACCTTGAAAGTGTGCACGGTTTAAACATGGCCTACTTTGAAGAACAGTGGCGTCGCAAAAAAAAATTACAGAGCCAGGCGTTAAGTCAAACCAGTGCCGACTACCTAGAAAAGCTCGGTGAACTGGTAGAGCTTGAAGAAAAGCTGATTGCAGCTCAGTAAGTAATTTGTCTTCTATAGTCTTCATTGTTCTGGGCAGAATGGCTAATCAATTTTGAATTATGCATGTCAGAGATTGACTCACTGCTTTACGCAGGAAAAAGAGGTCAAAGCAATGTGGTCGTAAGAGACAAGCCATTCTGGCATTGCCAAATACTATGGTGCATTTGGAAGAAGCTATGGAAGATATAACTGAAAAATTAGGACATGTGGAATTCAAAGAGCTGACGGGAACCGACGGTGGGTCTTACCTCACGTCAGATCTCATTCATTTGAGGTTGATAATTTCCAATTATCTTGTTGTAGATGATCGTGCCAAGCCATTAGTCAAGATCCAGGTGGCAAAAGGTCGTCTTGTAGTGGCAAAACGTGGTGTCATTGAGCATAGAAGGCGTGCTGGAACAGCACGAGGTGAGTAGAGTGAACACATGCATTGGTCATCCTCTTTAGCATTTAACACTACCTTTTTTGGCCAACCATCACCCAGGGACTAATGTCCAAGCAAAAATGAACGATCTAAGAGTCTTGAAAAACACTGAGCTGAGAAGGAAGCACGCTACTTATCATCGACTAGCACTGGCTTACAATCAAAAATTTGCACCAGACGTTTTACTGCCCACGCCAACACTAAAGGAGGTGGAACAGATGGAAATCACTGATCCATTCTTTGATTTTGGTGGCCTCACCCATCCCCGAGAACCCTGGGGTGTGGATACCCGAACACAGGATGGCATTGAAGTGTATCTAGATGTACAACGATGCGAGGAGGAGCTCCGTCGAATAGCAAAGGAATCGAGGCAGATGATGAACTGGGGCCTTGCCTTCCAGGATAAAATCAATGCCCTTCAAGATGAAATTCAGCAAGGTGTGAATCTTCTTTGATATCCCCAGATAGTGTAACCTGAACTGATGAAAGCAAGGTGTTCAATTGATTCGTAGGAATCGTTCCCATTTGGGCTGTGTCCAAAGAGACCATGCAGGCTCTGCACGCCACACTTGTGCAGCGTGCCTGTCGTCTATGGGTAAGGTGGCAAACCAAGTTATGCATTTTGGTTAGTTTGACAACCCCACCACCGGGGTGTAGCGAGGAGGTAGATCGGAATAACTGTACAAAGTGGCGAAATATGGTCAAAGAATCTCTTGTTGAATGGGAGGGTATGACCCAAAGAGTGACAATCGTAGGAGAGGGCGGTGATGATGAAGACAACAATGGAGATGATGATGATGATGATGTACCAGAAAGCCACCATGATGAACAGGGAGATGATGATGCTACTGAAGCCGATGGCAATATCAACCAAGATGAAGATATGCAAGACTTGGATTGATCTATGAGGTTATGAGGATACTTCCACTTCAACTTCACCTTCACACCTTAGCTCAGCCCGGTGGAACGTTTGTGCAGGCTGTGATTGTGAATGATAAATGTGACCTTGTGAATGTGAGATGGTTCACAAACATCACCGTCAACCTCAATTGATTTGTACCAATTGTGAAGCTTGCGTGTGTGTGAACTCTGCGAAGATGAAGGTTCACACACTTCACAATCAGTTGCAACCTACTGCTTGTGAGCTTTGTGAACTTGGTCAAAATGATGGTTCACACCCTTCACAATAAATTGTGAACTCTTGATTTTGACATCTTGAATGTTTTGTGAAGCTTGTTTGTGAAGCTTGTGAAGTTTGTGAAGTTTGTGAAGTTTGTGGACTTTGTGAGGATGGACGCTCACACACATCCAATCAATTGCGCACTCTTGAATTCTTTATACTTGTAAGAATTGTGAGGCTTGCTTGTGAAGTTTGTGAGATTTGTGAGGATGAAGCTTCACACATACTTCATCAAATTGTTTAAATCTTGTATGAATTGTGAGGGCTGCTTGTGAACATTGTGAACATTGTGAACATTGTGAGAATGAAGGTTCACACACAGTTCACAATTGTGATCTCTTGAGTTTGTTAGATCTTGTATGAATTGTTAAGCCTGGTTGTGAACTTTGTGAAGTTCAGGGTTCACACACTTCACAACTTGTTGTGGGCCGTGTGAAGCTTGGCTCACACACAGTTCTTGTGAAGCCTGGTTGTGAACTTTGTGAAGTTCAGGGTTCACACACTTCACAATCAATTGTGAATGCTTGATTGGCTGTAATCTTGTGTAAATTGTGAACCCTTGTTGTGAGCCGTGTGAAGCTTGGGTCACACACAGCTCACAATCAGTTGTGATCTCTTGAGTTTGTTAGATCTTGTATGAATTGTGAAGCCTGGTTGTGAACTTTGTGAAGTTCAGGGTTCACACACTTCACAATCAATTGTGAATGCTTGATTGGCTGTAATCTTGTGTAAATTGTGAACCCTTGTTGTGAGCCGTGTGAAGCTTGGGTCACACACAGTTCACAATCAATTGTGAACACATGATTGGGAATGTGATTTGGGAAGGTTTAACCTTGTGAAGGTACACTTGTAATGCTTGCACAAATTGTCAAGTTCAGCGGTGAGGTTTGTGAAGTTTTTCTCTAATGTGAACTTTGTCCATATCTTGGAAACTAAGACGTAGGGGGTTCACAATGTTCACAATTAGTTGTGAATTTCTTTTATGTCAATCTTGTGAGACTCGTTTTGGCTCACATCATTGAAAACATAAGGGAAGAGACTGATAACATTTGAAACTCACTCTACAAAAGCAGACAATAGCAAAAAGCAGGTATAGCAAGAACAAGTTGCACCAACATAGGATACAAAATCAAGTTACGAGGAAGATTTAAATAAGATATGACAGTGAAAATTTGTGATACTTAGTTAGTCGGCTGATCGTTAACCTTCAGTAACTCATAAAGATTGAGTCATGATTGCTCCTTCATCTCCTTCAGCAAGTTCGTCATCAAGCACTGCTTCTTCCGCCGTAAGTCCTGATGGCGCGCCTTGGACAACCCTTGCAGCTTTAATTTCTAAAGGTTGAGTGCTGATAGGTTCATCATCGAGCGCTGCTTCTTCCGCCGTGAGTTCTGAAGCCGCTGCTCGGATGACCTTGTAATGTCCAGACTCAATATCGGCCAACCATAGCTTATGAGTTGCAAGCGTCATCTTCTGCAACTCTGTTGATAGGAGAAGATCAGTCATGTTACTTTGTGGTGCTCGTACGACGCGGAGCTTGATGCCACCTTTGAATACCCTATTCTCGAGTGCTACATGGGGGTTTGAGGTCTTGGGATGACAGTCCAGGTGTGATAAGGGTGTTTGAAGGAATTTTTCTGTGATGATCAGCTGTCAGTAGTAATTCTTTCTGAATATGTAGTCAAATTGAGGATTGGAAAATGAACTTACCGACTTGTGAGTTCAATGCAGCAATGAGCTGTCCTTTGATAGCATCGCTAGGCTGGACTTTCTTGGCTTTTTTAGGGCGGATGTCTGAGTCGGACTGCGTGACCTGGCGCACAAATTTCTCAAGGAGGTGCCACGTGCCATTACTGAGTACAATCCAGTCATCGCATGATGAACTCTCGTGACTCCACTGTGCCTTGCGGTTTTTGGTCTCCGGTGACCACGAGGAAGCCATAAGGGAGTAATCTATGCTGTAGCGTATTTTCAGAATTTGAAGCTGACGACAGGAGATACAATCAGTTGAGGTATGTACGTGAATAAAATGAGTCGTACTGTCATACCTCGTGATCGATTCTTCAAACCTCGGTTATTCCCTTATTTTGGCGAGCGGTGGGTAGGTGAGGTCCAAATTTTTGTTGGCCTAAATCTTTTGCTACCTTGTCAGTATCAACTAAGCGTTTATATATTGGTAGGAACTTCTGAATATCTTCGGGTGTTAGAGGTTTGGATTGTGGCTCAGGTGGTGGTAATTCCCACCCGCATGACAGATATCCAAGTGGAAAGAAAATTCGATCTTTAAATATGTCTTTCTCATCGATGTTGTATGAGGACCATTTGTTGCCAAGGTGACTGTTTTGCTCTTTGAATCCAACTGTCTCATTCCTTGCTGGCACTATCAGGAGGTGGAGGCGAAGGGTTGTTACATATTTAGTGGATGGATGAGGTTTAATGTGAGAAGAACTTACTGTGAGTACGGGAGCTTTCTTTGCTATACTTTAGATAACATTGGTAGAATGTGCGTCTGGTTCGCATACTCACTTCGTGCCTGGTGTTTCAAAAATGTCAGTGGAATCAAATATAAAATTAAAGATAGGGGAGTCATCACTAACAGGAATTCGTTGATCGTCCGTTCGCTGCAATGTGCAGCTAGGGCCAATAGCTTCTTGGCTTGGTGATAAATGTATTGAAGGTTCTTCAATTCTTTCTGAATGTCAGATGGAATCCGGTTTCGTGTCTTACGAGCTCTATCATGGAGGTATGAGTCGATAGTAGCAACGTCTAAGTTGCTGTCCTGATAATTTTCAAGGGTGATTTTGATGTGGGGCTTCTTGTTTCGATTCTTCTTGGTTTTGTCGGATTGATATGTAGGAAGTTGAGGGGTGCTTGTATGGGGGATGGGTGCATCAGGTTTGTTGGTGTTGTTGTCATCCTTCCATTCATCATCATCAGGTTTGGCTTCGTCGAGTAGGTCAATTTTGTTGGCAAGGTCAAAGGATGAGTTGTTGGATGAAGAGTCCGATTCACCCTCAGAGCTTGAAATCTTGGGCTTCTTGCGTTGAATCGTAGCCTTCTTGCTTGGAATCTTGGCCTTCTTGCTGGCCTGGCGAGTCTTTGATGAGTTAGTGGCCGGTGCTGAGCGGCGTGTGTTTCGTGCGGTTTTTGGAGCCCTAGGGGGATTTAAAGGTGATGTACCACGTTTGGGAGGTCGAGGCATGGTGTTGGTATGGATTACGTTGATGTCAATGTCTTTGGTGGTATATATGTGGATGAAAGAAGTGTTGAATTGGCGAGAGCGAGGGATCTAGCTTACGTGGAGGTAGAGATAGGGAAATGTACATATGAGGATTGTTGTATATTGGTTTGTATGTAGTCGTGTGTATGTATTTTGTGTGAAGTTGTGAAGGGGCGGATATTGGGTCCAGTTGTTTGTGAAGTTGTGTGTGTGTAGATGTTGTTTGTGAAGTTGTGTGTATGTATATTGTGAAGTTGTGAATTTGGGTATATGAGTTTGAATGCGGATACCGGGTCGAGGCCATTGTGAGCGTGTGAAGGGCTTGTGAGCGGTTTGTGAGCGTGTAGTTGACGGGGAAGAGTTGTGTTAATTAGGGGTGCCAGATGCATGTATAGCATCTGAGTTACATCTGGCAATGAAAAGGGAGAGACTCGGATGATACAGCCTTCTGTATCTTTGGGTCGGGGCCGAACTTTTAGTGTACACAAGGTGGACTGGCTAGAGGACAGTCTTGCCCTGGATGATAAATCACTCAGGGCGGAATGTGGATGTAAGTCATGTCTCTTCAATACCAGTTGAGGTCTCTTCCCCAACTTCCTTCCTCTGCCAACTCTCAGTCATCTCTAAGTACAGTCACTTCCCTTCTCCTTCTTGACTTTGAGTTTTTCCTTTTTGAACTTTTTGAACCATGAGATCAAGTAGAAGAAACATGGGTTTACGACCCAAATTCGACCCTGAACCAACACCACCAAATTCAGATGATATTAACTTGAATGAACAATTTCAAATTGAAACTACTCAAGAATAAGACAAAAGAATTGCGAGAGAAGATGAACTAGAGAGATTAGGTTTAATAAATAGCTCAGATGAAGAAGAAACAAACACGGTCAAAGAGATGAGAGAACCAAGCAAGGAGAGCACGGATGAAGTATCATCATCAGACAATTCAGATGACTCAGACAAGGTATCTTCAATTACTTCAAAGAAAAATGAAAGTAAGAATGGTAAGTAAATAATTAATCATTATCTTCTAAAACATCCTCAGTCATGAATAGTCAAGATATCATATAACAGCAATGTCGTTCCACTCATAACAATGTGCTAATATGATTGTCAAGTAATAACTATTACGTCAATTAATAGAAATTACAACAATTCAACGTTTCATGAACTTCGATCTGATTGAAGACTGTCAAGTGATATCTATTACGACTTTCTCAATTATTGATCTTTAAGTATAAAAAGTTGTTTATCAACGTTATCACGACAATTTTAAAAATCTCTTATTGTTCTCTTTGACTAGTTGTTTATCAACGTCGACATATTTTGCCAACACAACCATGCACAGAAATTGATATAATGGTCTTTGAGATTAATATTGATATCTAACACATGGTTTGATTTGTAGAATTTCTGATCAAACAAGCTAAAAAAGCCTTGGCAAACAACAATGATAAGCTCTGAGAGATTATCTTGAACTCAATGGGTAAAGAAAGCACCAAATCGAAAACAAAAGAAATAATAGAAGATAACCTTCTAAAGAACTACAAGAAAGGAGAAACCTCCAGATCAGGTCTAAGGGGTTTCACAGAATTCTGAGAAGATCAAGACGAGCATAAGGAAAGAAGTTTTAGCTGGCAGAATGTTCGGCCCGTTCACCGAATAAGAAGTATGGCAAAATATGGGGTTTTTCAGAACCAGCCCGCTAGGAGCGGTTATGAATGGGGACGGCAGCTTCAGACCAATCAATGATATGTCCTTTCCCAAGTAGGACAACACAATAAGATCCGTAAACTCCTTCGTTAATAAAGAAGAATTTAGGACGACCTGGGACGATTTTAAGATTGTGGCGGAATTCTTCAAGACGCTGTTAATAAGTGTGAAACTTGGCTTATTTGACTGGGAAGGAGCATATCGGCAGATTCCGACGCACCCGTCTCAATTGCCTTATCTAGCAGTAAGGGATTTCAACGGTCTGATCTACATTGATTTGAGGATAGCCTTTGGGTATGTGGCAGGATGTGGGTCCTTCGGAGGTCCGGCTGATGGCTGGAAAACTTTAATGAAAAAGAAATTTTGTTTAGTTGAAGCGTTCAGATGGGTGGACAATAATTTGATGATGAAAGACGAGTCAAACCCTTTATTGATGTTAGAGATTGTGAAAGCTAGCGAAGAATTAGGGGTGAAGACAAATGTGACTAAGTATGCAGAATTCTCTTACAAGCAGAAGTTTATTGGTTTCATGTGGAACTCTCAGCTGAAAACTGTAACTTTACCAAAGAAGAAATTGGACAAACGTATCAAAGAAGTTGACAAGTTCCTCTCAAAGTCATCATTTAAGAAGAACAAAGTCCAAAAGTTTAACGGGAAGTTGTCGCACCTGACTTTGATACTACCACAACTTAAAGCTTACCTTACAGAGAATTTTAAGTGGGTTGCAATTTGGAGAACTCCTGGCCTGAGGAAGATGCCAGAAGGATTACTCCAGACTACGAGATTCAAGACGTAGGCTGGGTGGGCAACGCATTGTCCAGCTACGGGATTGGCATTATCATTGGCCAGGCCTGGACTCAATTCAAATGGAAGGAAAATTTGGGATCGACCAATTGGTCTGCCTAGGCGAACAATCGCTTGGGCTGAGACAGTTGCGGTTCGACTGGGCTTAATGATGTTGGTACCGTCGACAAATACTAAGGGAACAAGTTTCTCATGCTTGACTGACAACACGACTACGGAAGGGGCGGCAAGAAATAAGAATTCTAGAGACGCCTGGGTGAACAACGAGTGGAAGTTGATCCAGGACTTGCTAGTCAAAAGTGAATGCAACGTGAATTTAATTAGAGTCATATCGGAAGACAATGATGCAGATAAGCTATTCAGGGGTCTAGACACCTCTAGAGATATTAAGGACATGGTTCGGTTAGAACTGCCGACCTCGTACCCCTTCTGTTCCAAACAAATTTAGACTCTTAGACGACTTCTTCATTACCTTTAAACATATTCCCCTTCGTACAAGAGTTATATTTCCAAGTCATTTTTGTTTTGACAGTTTTCAACCCCTTTAAAGGTACGGTGTTGTAGCTTTAGAGTACCGTCTTGTCTACCGACTGACTTTTCATTTTTGGTCATCAGATGCTAGCCTCGGACGTTCTAAGACACTTGCGGCCTGATACTTTTGAGACGTTGGATGAAGCAAGCAAGTTCATTTTGCAACACAGATGGGCTCCCTCGACATTCCGTCATTACGCTGCTGCCGTTAATTGTCATTTCAAGTTTATGACCTCAACCCAAGTTTACCCCTTTCCGGCATCAAAAAGATCAATTTACCGTTTCAGTTACTGGTGTCGAGATAACCAACACAGCGACATGTTTTTAAGCAATACCATCAAGAGATATCTGACTGGTATGAGAATGTGGCATACACTTCATGATGCCAAATTCCCTAATGTGAGCGTAGACAGAGTTAGATTGCTCTTGAAGGCGACACTTACGACAGAGGCTAGAACTCCTAACCTATGAGCCGGCCTGACATTGATGGATCTTCACTTCCTGGTATTGAAACTCAGCAAGTCAACCACGTCCGGTTCGGTTATGCGGGCGCTACTTCTGACCGGTTTTGGGGGTTTAGCCCGTTTGGGAGAACTGACACTTTCCACCAACCACGCCGATGTCTACGTGCGCAGGTCAGATGTGACGTTTAATGCCGACAAATCACACACCATGGTAAATATTTGAATGGCAAGGACAGCTTTGCCGGGCGAGATTCAATTCTTGAGGCTTTCCCAACAACCAAACAGTCTTGACCCCATAACAGCCTTGAAGGAGTTGTTAAACAACGTAATGGGCCGTCCTTCCAATCCTCTATTTCCAAATGCTGACCATGATGGCCCAATGCTGAGGAGAACAGTGATCACCTTCTTGAGGAGTTTTAAGACTAAGTCGAATGTAACGTGGTCAGGTCAAAGCTTGAGGCTAGGAGGTGCATCTTTGAAAGCCCATTTGGGGATGTCTGAGAAAGCCTTGAAGCGTTCGGGCAGGTGGTTGTCAAATTGTTTCCGCTTATATGTTCGGCCATATGATAAGATCACGGCGAGGAAGACTAAATTGCTGGCATGCCAAATTTGTAATAATTTGTAATTATGCTTTTAGTCACGCTGCGCGGTTTGCTTTGTTATACGACCGGTGAATTCCACTATTTGTGGGTGTTATACATTTCTCTTTCTTCACAAACCTTGGTGCTACAAGGTTTGGGGTTTTGAGACCCTTTAGCAGGTCTCAGCTCTTTGAATAAATTGATCCCTGAAGCGGGTTCAAAGGGTATCAATACCCCATCTTGTTTTTTGTGGAGTCTTTGGTATCCACAGGCATGATCCTAAGTGTAGTGATCTTTGCCTTAAAGGAGAAATAAACACTAGGTGTTCTTTTCACCCACAGAGGGATTAGGCCATGAATTGGTCTAGTTCCTCATTGGGAATACCTAGCGCAATTCCTATTTACGTATAGAAAGAAATAGTTGATTCCTTGCTACACGTCTCCATCTCCTGGACGAGATGTTGAGTAAATGGATGAACAGAAAAAGTAAACCAAAGACAGTCATCAGGTTTTCATTTTTTGTTGTTACTTGTTTGTTTGCTTCTTGCAAGGGGCACAAATTGTCAGACCCGTCCATGAAAAGGAGGTGAATGCACTCCTTAGGAAGAATCTACATATTGAGTAATATATTACAGATGAGGACAAACAGAAGGGAGCTCATTACCCATTGAGAAACATGACTTCATTAAATCTATCACCAAATGATATGATAACTCTCATCATTGCAATTGAATAGATAGAATCAGTCAATCAAGCTATAAAGGCTTTACCTCTGGTCTTGTTTGTCCCTCTTGCTAAACATCTATTATTTATCTCAAGGTATTCCTTCCTACCTTTTGTTGAACTCTTTATTAGATCGAATAGTGTTTAGAACTAGAAGATATAATATTCCTACACTAATAATTTGTCTATTCCTATTTTGAATTTTTCCTTCTCAACAGCAACCCTACAGACCTCTGCAGATTATATTCACAATCAGTCCAACATTTTTTTCTTTGTCATTCTCTAATTTTTGTCTCATTAAGTTGTACACACAATCTTTGGTTTTATCTCATCTCTATCCTCTAACACATTCATACTCCTTCACACGTCTTCTGAGAAATAACCATGCCAAACAAATCTAGAGCTATACACTTTCATTGCAAATTCTTCCATAGAAGGAGTTGACATAGCTGGAGACAAGCAAGGTGATATAGGAGAAGACTCCATAACAGCTAACTGAGAAGATGAGAATCTAGAGAATCCAATCAAACAACAAGTCTCTGAAGATGATGATCCTAGCAACACAGCAGAAGACCAGAACAAATTTCAAGTCATATCCGACAATAACTCATCCAGTGAAGACTCAGAATAGACTGCCAAACGCAACAGCTCCATTGACTCTTCTGACAATTCCAACAACTCTGACAGTTCAGGAACCTTGGAAGCCCCACACAACCAGATGACAACGACTCCTCATCAGATTCCTCAGACTCTGACGATGAACCCAAAGATCAGGAAGCTCAAGAGCATTCCAATTTGTCAGACTCAGAGAAAGCCTCCAATCATTCATTATCATCCGGATCACCTTCTGACTCAAACTCTTCAGACTCCAAAGAAAATTCAGACAAGGAAGAGGTACCTAAGCATAAGAAGAGTAAGAAGAGTAAGCCATCTTGAGTCTGATTAGAGCAGTACCAAACCCTTCCCCAAATTTATTCCATCTTGTTAGCAACCTTCATGATTGGCTACGCTGTACACATCCATATATCTTCCCCTCCCAAAAAGTCTCCTCCCCTAAATCTCCTCCCCTAGATACCCCCAGTCCTTAATACCACTTTGAACCTATCTTCTGCTAGCCAATTTCCTGATGTGAAGGCACAATTTAGTGAATTATCTTGCCAAGCTGACAGTTTAGCTAGAAGATAGATCCTTGTACGCTTATGAAAACAAGTTAGCAAACCATATCTTCTTGCACTCCAAGTCAGGAGTGAACTTGTCCTACTCTCCCCAATTTCATTGCAAATTCCTTTACCAAGGTTATCAAAAATGAACTGACTACACCTAACACTCCAGAAAAAGAAGACACTGTAGAGAAGCTAGAATGTCAAATGAGAGAGGCAAAGGCACAAGCCAAGAAAAGAGCTACAAAAGCTAAGACTAAATCCAAGACAAAGAAGCGGAAGGGCAAGAAAGACAAGAAGAAAGCATCAGACATCTCAAAAAAGACCAAAGAAGACCAACATGATCAAGATTGAAATAGGAGTACCTCCTACTGGAGACCTAGTCCCACTTCAAGTAAGCATCAATGATAGCCGTTCCTGACAGCTTTGTCTAAGTCACTCAACAATCCACTTTCTTGTTTCTCTCTATCTTTTTCTTCCCTTATTGCATTGATAGCCTTTCTGGGCAGATCAGATGACCAACTTACACACATCAATCCCTCTGACTGTGTTTGCCAAACATTTGCAAGATCCAATATGGAGGAACTTGACCATAATCATCACTCCTCGTCATCCTCCAAGGTGAAGTCAAACAAAGGACTCAACGCTCCTTCCAAATATACCTTGTCCTTTGCAGGGGGGTCAGAATGTACGAGTCTTTTCGGAGGATACCTAGCACATTACTATGGGAAGGCATTGCTAGCCAAACACCTTAAATTACATATTGAGAATGTGAAATCCGTCAAGTAAGACCTTCTCCAATTGATTCCTTAAACCACTAGGGGACAATAAGAGGTAATAACCACAACCGTCATCCCCGAGTAGGCGGTCCACAGAATGCTGGCTGACCGCATTGCAATTCAATGTCCTATGTTGCTCCCAGATCTTCATCAAGTAGATTGGAAAGACAAAGATGAAAGATATCGGCCTTCACCTACCCAAATACAAAGACCAAGCTATATAGAAATCTTTACGGTTCAATGAGTTGAACTGGGGTGACACCAACTTTTGCCCCAAAGGATGTTGATTCAAATTCAAGCATCCTCAAACAGGAGTTTATAGGTTAGCAATTACAGTATCAGCTATTTCTTTCTGAACATTAGGCTAAAGTAGTAGCAAGTTGTTACAATGTAACCATTACAGATCACACACTCAATCATCTAGCGTCAACAGCCACCAAAACACCTCCCTTGACAGCCAGTCAACCAAGCAAAAGCGTGGGAACCAAGGTCATCACACAAACACAGTTGACACAACCCAACAACAAGCTGCCCCAAGACAATTTGCTCCACTTCCTCACCACAACCTACCTTGGAATCCGTTGACCCGCCAGAAGAATGGCTTCCTCCCTCAAGCTGCACCAACGGCGGGAAAAACAGTACCCCGGAAGAGGAGGAAGAGGTAGCTGGAGACGCAGCCGAGGTGTGGCTAACAATACAAGACACGAGGGGTAAGTCTTTGATGATTGATCAATGACCTTTGTATTTCTATGTAGACATTAGAATCACAGCATATTGTAGCACCCCTCCTTATGACCTACCTATGTTTTAATCCCAACCTTTTTCAGAGCTATCTCCACCCTTTGATTATCCTGTACTCCACAGATAGATTATCCTTTAAATTGGTTCTATAATACATGTCCTTTATGTATCTCATATTTTGATGACATGACATTCTGCAGTGAATGGCTTCACTTACATGTTTTTGTATGCCCTTTAACCTATCAAAGAAACGCTAGTGACCCGAGATACAAAAGCCCAGCATCAACCCCTGACCATTCCGTCCCAATCCATCCCAAGAAACAGACCAAATGGCCCCTGAGTGTGGAATGTGATATGAAGCTACACGAGTGGAGGAAAGCCCTTGAGAAACACCACCTCCTCCCTTGTGTCCAACTCATCCTAGACAGCTTCAAAGTTGGTTTCCACCAGGGCATCCCAAATCATTCAATAGAAGACCTCCCTTTCTTCTGTCCGCCAAACCACCAATTGGCCATGGCAGCTAGAGAAGAAATAGAGAAGAATTTGAAGCAAGAGGTAGACGCCTTCCAGATGTACGGACCATACACAAAAGAAGAAACTGCTTCTAGGTATCCCTTTTTCAGATCAAGTCCCCTAGGCGCTGTCATCAACAGCAATGAGTCTTTCTGCCCAATCAATGACCTTTCTTTTCAAAAAGACAACCCTGACACCCCAAGTGTTAATTCTTTTGTAAAAAAGGAAGACTTCAAGATGACATGGGACAATTTTGAAACAGTGGCCATCCACATCACAAAGGCAACAGTTCCACTTCATATTGCATTTTTTTTCCTGGTTGAAAACCTATAGACAGATAGGAACACACCCAGATCAATGGCCCTGTCTACTCATCCAGGACTCCAATGGTTTCCTTTATATAGACTTGTCCATATCCTTTGGAGGAGTGGCAGGTTGTGGGAGCTTTGGAGGACCTGATGATGCGTGGAAAGAGCTGGTAGAACTCGAGTTTGGACTCAACAAGATCTTTAGATGGGTAGATGATAACCTCATTATTAGAGAAAGTTCTCAAGAACTCAGTATGGATGTAATTGTTAACTACAGCACGACACTAGGCCGCAAGCCCAACAATACAAAGTTTACACATTTCAGCAAGGAACAGAAATATATCAGGTTCCTTTGGAATGTAGAGAAAAAGACAACCTGCTTACCTCCCAAGAAACTAGTGGCACAAGTCGAGCAACTCAAGACACTCCTTGCCAAGGCTGACTACACATTCAAGGAGGTTGAAAAAATGTACGGCAGGCTTAGTCATGTTTTTTACATTGCCCCTCAGCAAAGATGCTATCTGACAAGCGGTTTCCGTTGGAAACGCAAGTGGGTGAAACACGAGGCACAAAGAAAAGTGCCGACATCCACAAGAGGCACTCTAGCGGTCTGGATGGGGTTTCTTGTGTTGACAGACAACACCATGACAGAAGGTGTGTCACACAATGAATCTTCCAGAGACTTCTGGGTAAATGAAGAATGGAAGTGTATCTCCAAGCTTTGATTTCAAGACAATTGTCAATTCAAGCAAAGATGTGTGATGACACTGGACAACGCAGCTGACAAACTGCCGCAAGGCCTTCAATTGTCAAAACGTTGGTACCTACAGGTCCACGTAGAGCTACCAGACGATCTACTCCCTTGGCAATAGGATGTAGAAGAACAGGAGACACAGCCAGAGAAGCTTGTAAGTTATATATAAGTGGCTGATATTTCCCTCATCCCACTGGTCCATCACGTCCAACTAACAAGCAGCTCTACACACTTCCTTTCATTTTGCTGTAAACATCCATCAGGTCCAACACATAACTTAACACTGTACGACCTCCCTCTCATATTCCTTCTCCTCTTCAGTCCTTCTTTTCTGCTGCACTCACTCTTCTTCTTCTTAGCATCATTTAACCCCTCCTTCCTCACCACCACACTTTCACTGTTACATATCCATTTACCCCAAAGAGATAAAGGTGAGGATATGTAGTGTCTTCCCAAAAAGAATTATATCGCCGTAACTAAGAGAAACACCCTCCCTGCCTCTACATGGAAGATAACAGTTACCCGCTGATACCCTCATACCATTATCAGAACAATGAAGGATATGACTTCCTTCCTTAGAGTAAATGATCACATCAAGTGTCCGCTGACTTGAGCACAACACCATATGATACGCGCAGGATGGAATCAATCCACCATTGAATCCTACGCCTCTGGGGTTAAGAAATTTAAGCTGTTTGCTTCCTCTAAGAAGTTGAAAGCTTTCCCAGCTTCCAAGGACACAGTCAAACTGTTCATAGGCTGGGCGGGACGTAACATAAACCACCGTGCTACCAACAAGCCAATCATGGTGTCGACCATCACCAATTACCTCACAGCCCTACGTACGTGGCACACCTTCCACGGTTTCAACTTCCCAACTATCCATTTAACACACTTGAAATTGATCCTCCAAGTGTCAAAGAAACTTGAAGCAAGAGCACCTGTACAGAAACTCAATTGTCAGCCCATTAAACCCAAAGCCCTGCTACAACTTGTTGCCAACATTGCAGAATCCAAAATAGTTGGTTTGTTTTGCCTACTGGGGACTTGCCAGAATGGGAGAACTAGTCTATAAAACAACTGCTTACAATAGACATGACCATAGTGCAATAACCTGCTCCTATGTATGATTCTTCACTCCAGGAAGCACCAAATTCGCAGAAATAACATTATGCAAAGCCAAGACAGCAGAACCTGGCAAGACTCAAACTCTAGTGCTTTGAGAGACAGGGGGAGTACTATGCCCTGTTGATGCTTTACAATGACTAATCACCTGCTTACCGCGAGTTAAACATCCACGCCTGTTTATGAGTTATGCCGATGGAACCACCATTATCAGTAGACAACCTATCACACAAGTCATGACAAGAGCCTGGGGAAAGTCCTTGAAGATGACTGGGCATTTGTTTAGGATAGGAGGAGCAACACTGTTAACCAAGGCGGGGATAAGTAGATATACACTGCTGCCATAAAAACATGAAAAAATATGCAAAATGATTCATATTTTTCTGACCCTTTCTGCCGTGTGTATAATTTTCTATGTTCTCCTAATTTTCTAAACTCAGCAATAAATTTGCAATCTGGCGTAGTGATATTTGAAGGAATGATGAGAGGGGGAAAGTAGAAAAGATGAAAGGTGAGAGTTGTCCAATGGGTTTGAGTCTTATCAATCCCCATGTTGTAACACTTGAGATGTGGTTTTAATGCATCCTGAGTCTTATCAGTTCTGCCCCACTGAAGATGAGTGAGTGGAGATGGGATTGAGAAGGAAGACTTACTTTGCAGGCATATGGCAATGATGATGATGTGATTGATTGATCAATGGATTGTGTGAGCCTACTAGCGTCTGTTGGGCTAGTAGATTCAATAAAAAAGAGGATAGAAGTTTAAACAAACTTCTACTAGACTCGTGGGGATTAGTATCCACACGTTTGAGCGGGTACAGACGTGGGCGTAGGAGCTTTACTTGGAATAAACAAGTAAAGACTCCAGTTAGTTGACCTTTGAACAAAGGATTTAGCCCAGGGATTTTGGGTTAATTATTTTCCTTGCAATAATTAAAAAGAAGAGCAACTGACGCGCATTTCTCGATCCTAAATTGATCCTCTTCTTATTCAAAGAAAGGTCAAAGAAGGTGGTGTTGAAGTCTTTTATAACACCGGGAACTTTACACTCTGACTAGTAGAGATTTCCCCGTAGATTAAGAGTTTCTTATATCAGATGAATCCCAGATCTGATATAAGCAGCACTCAAGGACTACTTCCTTATACGTAATTCCACCGTATGGATATTACAAAAACTACTGATTAAGGAATCTAATCAGACAGAAACAAGGGTTGATGCGCACACAATAAAGTCAACAAGACACAAGGTTGAGGTTTCAAGGTTTGTAGAATCAAGCTTTTAAAGTTTGTAGATTTTAAACAAAGTTTAAAAGTTCTAGGAAGATGAAGTGAGCAATTTGTAATGGTTGTTGAATAATAATGTGATGATTCAAAAACTGGTGGGATCTTCAGGGTTTAATATATAGTCTGAACGCGGGGAATCTTTGGACTACAAGTGCGCACAATTTGTGGTTCTAAGGTTAGGTTAATTACAGTAACATGGTTACTATTGGGTTATAAGTATATTTCACTTGTTACATACATGTTACATCTGTGAAATATATGTAGCTTTGGTCCACATCAAAGTTGTGTACGTACACACTCTTTTATGTAAGTTTTGCACATGTTACATATGCCAAATCATATGTAACTTGACTCTTGAAACTGAGGCTTGAGTTGTAATTGTTGTTTTTAAGGTTTTTTTATTATATTTGTCGCCCATTGGTACGCTGGTTTAGTACTCAGGGCTGACATTCCCCACCACCAGAGGAGGTCATACATCCTTTCAAGGTTTATGATCTCCTTTTGATGCTCTGTATGCTCTCAGGGTGACTTTATCATCAGGCACTTTATCCTCTGGTAACCATTCATCTGCATCCACCCCTTGGTTTTTATATCTTACCAGATATAATTTAACATCTTTATTATTTTTATCCTTTACTGTCTTTTCCCTCAATATCTTAAGAAATTTCTTTTCAGTATCTGGAGTAAAGGTTGGCAAGACTGTACTGACTTTTTGGTGAAATTTATTTTCATCTGGTGAGTTATACTTCTTTATGAGAGAGACTGGGAACACCATATGTTTTCTTTCCATCTCTCCCGTCAGTATAAGCTCTACTGCGTTTGGTCCTACAAGTTTTGATATGACAAAAGGTCCTACAAACAGATCTCTAAGTTTTTTAGAACCTTCCATGTTGTTAAAGTTTGTTGTTGACAACAGCACTTGATCTCCAACTTTAAAATTAGGTTCTCTATGGGTCTTATCCCATCTCTCTTTATTGTATTCTTCTGATTCTCTGATACAATTGGCCGCAAACTCTCTTGCTTTGCTGATCATAGATGCAAAAGATAAAGATGTAGGATGCATTTCTACATCTCGGGTTTTAAATTC